CAATAAATGACATAGCACGAAATGCAGGCCAGTGATCAAGCGGAACCCTAATGAGAAGCCACTTGTTGATCATCAGTGCGAGGCTGACATGCAGGAGATCGTATGAGGACGAGATGAGAGAGTTTAAGCAATCGTGGACCCGACTGAAAGAGAAAGCAGAGAATAGAAGAGGGTGGACATGTGTTGTTGAAGCCATAAATTCCACTCGAAACCCAATGGTATAATGCGTCGGTGGCACAGTGGTTAGGATTCTCCCAGACCATGCCAGTGGTCCGGCGTTCGATCCCCTGCCGACGCACACCTGATATCTATGGTTGGCCAGCGTAATTTGGGCTACCAATATCACAAGCTAAAAATTCCATATCTGTACCAAAAATACGGTCTGGAATCAGGTTGAAATATAAAATAAAAAAATCACGAAGTGACTTGATTAGAGGAACACTGGAGAACCTCTGAGTATTGAACAGCCGTTTCGTCCTTCTGAGAATCCTCACAGTGCGCACCCACCAAGGTCCAAACATAGGACTTTTCAGTTACAAAGCAAGCTCGTAGACCATTTAGCTACTGAGACCCGACCCAGAGATGTCGTTTTATAGATATCCACTTTAGACAGACACACGGATTGATGTTTACCACACAGTTTTGATCCTGAAAGTATAACTAAAGAGGTCCTTATCTAACTAGATTCTAGAATATACATTCACTGACTTAACGTTGTAAGACAGAACACTTGTTCTTATATTTTCCTATAGTAAGTCGATCAGTGATGTAAGACGATGAGATGGGAGATGCTTCTTTAGACGACTGGATCTGCTTCAATAATTTAGTTTGAAAAGTATGCGATATTAACAATTTTAACAGAGATCCATACTGACGGATGTATTATGCCTCTCAAATGTTGTTCAACACAGTCGTAATGACTGATCCCTCCGCATTTTTCCAACAATTAATTAATCCTCAATGTAGCATTAAGAACACACTGTTTAGCGAAGGGAATGTTTTCAACAAGAAATTTATTATCAAGCTGTACAATCGTGTATATACACGGCTTTTTAGAAATTATATCTGGTAACGGAATCAGATCAAAGCTGTGAATACAAGAAATAATAATAGTGGTAGTATGAAACGCAATTAAAATATCTGTGATTATAATCATAGTTAAATATCAATTGTCAAGTGGCATATCACATATAGAATACATAGAATACATAAGTTGTATAGATGCTGGAGAGGGGTGTATAATTAAAGGATTAGTAGACCAATGTTACATAGCATGGTGTAAAACTTGATAAGGTAGGATTAAGTATTGTAAAAGATTTTTGGATTTAGAATTAAAAATGGGACAAGTGGAAACAATTGAAATTGGGAATGATAATATTAATAGTATTGATATTAATAATGATAAACGTAGTAATGAGGGAAGGGTACGTAAACTAAATAAATAAATGTCTTCCCCTCTACCGCCAAGGAAGATGTAGAGATTGTGCATACTTTTTTGTACAGAAAGTTCTGGCGCAAAATTCATGAATTATCAAAACCTCCAACTTATTGACAGAAACGCAAGCAGTCTAAACTGGTCACCGACTCAGTTTCAAAGAAAACCATATTCACGATTTTGGAATTAAGACGTGACCAAACTGTAAATATGGACGAAAACTGTCCTTCTAAGTTAGTCAGTAAAAAGGGCCCTTTTCAAAATTACAATTAATGTTCTTCACCTCTGTAAAAGATAAGCTCCCTCGTCTGACCACGTCCTTGTGCATCTATCAGTTCCCTTTTTCTTGTAGAGAAAGGTGTTTTGGCCGTAGTCACAGAAGGACTTCGGTACAGATACGAGAACATGATCTAGCAAGGTTTTATAATGTAGAAAGGAAGGATGTACGAGCTCTATTCTAGAACACGTGTTCGACTTCTGCCACTCTACTTGACCTGACTATAATTTTAAGGTGATCTACCAAGTCAATGCAAACTTGACCGGCATTCTTCGTTATGCGATTTTAAAGACAGAGGAGGTTTTGGTTATTCATAAATTTAAGCCAGACACCTTTGTATACAAAAAGGTATGCACAATCCCTGCTTCTTCCTTGGCCGTAGAGATAAAGACATTTATTTATTTATGCATTTTGTTTATTTGGTAATTCTTTGCACCCTTCCCTTACTACTACGATTTTTATTACCATTCCAATTTTGAATGGCTTCCGCTTATCCTATTCTTCATACTAAATCCAAAAATCTTTCACCATATTGTATCCTGTTTCATCAAATTTCATACCATCATTTATCATGTTTCATAAGTGCCTACTAACCTTATAATTGTACACCCCTCTCCCATATCCATACGTCTGACGAATTATTCTATATATTTAAAACAAGGAATAAATGTTAATAAAGCAGGATTTAATGAATTTATCAAATTTCGGTGTTACGGCACAATCGAAAGATCTATATTTAGAAAGTCTTCATGGACAAGACAGCACATGCATTTCAAGAGCTTTCTTCCAATCCAGTATAAAAAAATTTAGTCAGAACACCGTTCAATAGAACACGAAAAATTTGTCCTGACAGTACTACTGAACATGAAATAAAATCTCTGAAGGATATTTTTTAGCTAAGAATGGATATCCTGAGAAGTTCATTGATAAATACTCTAAAGAAATTATCCCCTGCAAAACAATCCAAACAGTTCCGAAGAAACCTGTTCTATATCAGTTTGCCGTTCAAAGGAGATGATGTACAGGAAATAGTCAAACGAAGACTCAATAAAGCCATCAAGAGAACTTATTGTGGTGCAAAACGTGTTTTCCTTAACACCAATAAGCAAGTGCTTCAACAATCTGGTAAAGACCAGTCGCTAATCCTGGACACTTCAAACTGCGTATATCAATTTGAGTGTGTTTGTGGAAGCAAATGCATAGGTCGTACGGAAAGGCGATTATCTACTCGCATGATGAAGCATTTGCCAAAATGGTTGAAAACAGCTGAGTGCACAGTGCCAAAATCCTCAATAACAAAACATCTTGTGGATTGCTGACATGATATCGCCCCGGTCAAGTCATTCACTCTTGCCAGTCAGCAGAAAAAGAAACAAGAAGATGCTTGCATTTGTGGAGGCTTGTGCAATTCGAGTTTATAAACTAGGTCTCTGTGTACAAAAGGAGATGGTCTTGACTCTGAACCTGCCATGGTAATACGTTTAACTCATTATTATTCTACCTCTTATTATTATTGATTCATTTAAAACTATCCTTTATCAGTTGGATTATCTTAACTCACTTCAGCACTATTATTACTGCTACTATTACTACTGACATTACCGTGTTTGCAATTCTTGGTATATTCTCTAATGTCTAATTGTATATCTTAGTGATGTAATTGAAGCGTAACGCGATTTATCTCAATTTTGATCTCTCATACTCTCTCTCCCCTTATCTATTTGAAAATGACCTGCAAAACATTCGCATCTGTCTTTCTGCATAATTAATTCAATGTAGTTTGTTTACTTATCAGTCTTACATCTCCCAATGTAATTTCAAAAGTATATATATATCCGTGTATGTAGAGTATTCAGCTGACGAGTAATTCTACCGAAATTTGATGAATTCATTAAATCCTACTTTATTAAGCATTATTGCTTGTTTTAAATTCGTATCGGGAAATAAATGTTTTCAATTCGATTATATATATATGACATGAATTGTTTTGCCACTTGACACTTAATTATAATCACAAACATTTAATTGCATTTCATACTACTAGTACTATTATTATTTCATGTATTCACAGCTTTGACCTAATACCATCACCAGATATAATTTCTAAAAAACCATGTGTATATACGATTGTACAGCTTGATAATAAAATCGTTTGTAGATAAACATAGAAGTGGCACAGCTAGGTAGCTTGTCTTCGGCTTGAGCAATCATAATTCGTCGGCTGGAAAATGACAAAGAAAGGGTGGTGGCAGTATTAGTGTAAAGAGCATCCTCCTTCATGGTTCGGAAGAAGCCAAATATAATCTATAAGAAGTTCTATTTTAACTCATTTGTTTGATGGTAATGGTCACCAAGTGGACAGAAGTAATGCCTTCAGAGTTATCTATCGCATTCCATCGAGCATTTCAATGGAATTCGAACCCACATTTTACACATAGCTGAGTCTAAGGGAATTAATTCAAGAGAGAGTAATCCTAGTCTTTGCATACAAAAGACGTTTATTTCACCTTTTTGTGTCTCCCTTGCTTGGCCTAGGTAAATTCCAATCAAAACTTGCCCACCCTTTTTTAATTTCCTTTTCCTTCGAACATTTATGATATTTATTGAATTTAATTTTTGATTTTCCCGTCGATTGTTTGGACCGAAGTGCTTGGTCTCAGGTTGACATGTCGGCTTTGGCATTTGAAACTATGGGTACTGGGTTCGAGCTTCGGTGGGAACGTCATCACTCACTGAGAAATGCAGGTACATCCAGCTGACGAGTCCCAAATAGGACGAAATCCGCATCCTGGATTCCACTGCTAGCCTTCATGCACCAATTGTATTTATGATATTTATTTAAACTCTGATAATTTTTCCACTTCACCTTCATTATTACGTAACTTTTAAGATTTGACCTAATTCATTTATTGACTTGTCGACATATACACATATTACTACCGTTGTTATTTTTATTGCCACTTGCAGAAAGCTTTTTACCAATGTTTTGTTGTCATTATAATCACCGTTGTTAATGACATTTACCACGTTATTATTATTATTATTAATAAATTCGTTGTTGAAAAGAGTTTCTTCATTGAATATTGTGTTTGTCGGGCATTCTGCCAGGGGAAATAGAACCTCTATGAAGTACATTTAGCAAAATAATTATGTGTGTGTGTGTAATGTGATGAGGTTTTTGATCAGCAAATTTCCACCATTATCTGATATAAATGCATATTAATTAGTCCTCTCTTTCCCAGTTACATAATTCTGGTTTGTTTTTTCTGTTATGTTTAAACCATACAGCGTACACGACGTAGCGGAAGATCAAAATATGATATTCTTCATTTAAATGGGTAAGTCATAGAAATACTACTAAACAATCTATTTGATGTTACATAATCACTGTTGCTTTTAAGTATTGTGTGTTTGTCGAAATTGTTTTTCAAAAGATAGTTTGTAAGGATTAAATTTGTTTTTACTGGCGTTCTAGATAACTGTATTTTCCATAGGGATTTCAAAGTCACAGCCGAATAAAGAAGGTTCTACGTAAAACTTTTAATTGCGCTGGAACTAAAATAAAGTTTGAAGCTAATAAACCACCCAGAGATAAACTTTGTCGACATAAGGACCCAATTGATCCAATTAAAAAATATTTATAGTTTACCAAATCCTATTTAATGCTGATTAAAAGGTCATATATACATAAGTGAAACTTGTAGAATCGGGTCACTTAAATTATCGGAATGTTTGAATTTACATTGGTCCAGAATGCTTGACCTGGCTAAGTTAAATTACCCAAGAAAAACAGAGCTCTATCATAGCAATGTATTCACTTGCATGTAATCATACAATAAGTTAGCGTAGTGTGAAGGCATTGAAAAGTAGTGTAGTTAGGTGGAGGGATGGAGAGGTTAGTAACATAATCTTTGTTTAGCAATCTGATAACAAACAATAACATTCGAAATCAGATAACGCCAGGGTCGGATGTATGCAGAATTGCAATAAACAACAAAAGGGAAGAGCAAAAATATATACAGCAAGCTAAGAAAATTGTAAATACATCAATATGATTATGAGCAATAAATTGTGGGTGATATCCCAATTTTGATTACCATATCACCGTTATATGAAATCAATTTATCGAATATGGAATCAAATTGCATCAAATTGGCGAAACTCTTGATTTACGTTAGATAACCTTCTTTTAATGTATTGCAATTATCTTAAACTTCCAACAGATTCCTTTTTATTGCACTGGAATGTTTGATCTGTTTGTAGATGTCGTTTCCTAACACTCTAGTTTAGATGATTTCTTGAATTTGACTAAACACCATGGGTTTGTTAGCGCCAACAGGAGAATATAGAAGCACATTTCGACCTATCGGCCAGGTGTAACTGTATCCACCGTGAGTGGCAGTGTTCCCACCAAAACTGGTTTGGTACTATGAATACCGGCTTCAAGTTTATGTGGGGATAACACTACTGTATAACACTGTGAAACTTTATCAAAATAAATTTATACTTAATGAAATTATACTCTACCACAGTACTATTCTTATATCAAAGTGTGTTGAGATACAGCTAGGAATGGATCTTGTTTGTCCCTCGCTTAACATTGCTGGATGACGTTTGTAAATACGATAATGAACCTGCTTAATTGTACTCCAAATGTAACTGGCTCTACAGCTGCAGAGAAACTGGTAGATACACATACAGGAGGTTGTTAATTTGGTTTGTCCTCCTGTCGTATTTGGTTGTTAATTTGCATCTCTCCTGAACATTTTTCTGACTTGGAATTCGAACTTTCTCGTCCTATGACGATTTACTTTTTATTAGCTGATAAATTCGGTCTATAGAGGTAATGTGTTTGTTAATTGCTGGCTGATTCACTCGAGTATCATCAGGCCTCTAGGAATTCCCTGACTGCATTTTTGATGTTTCCTTTATTCAAAATTCTCACATTTTCCCAATCAAATTGGTGTCCATAAATATATACACAACGTATTTCAAGACATCAAATTCACAAGACAAGAAACATTATACAACAAAACTTCATTCTTAGATGTCTTAATCAAGAAAAATATGATAAAGAAAATTTAAAAACACAAGTATACAGAAAATCAACGCACACTGGCGAAATACTCAACTAAAATAATAATAATCTAACCCAATTACTCACAAAAGAAACTGTGTACAGACATTGTTTAAAAGAGTTCAAATACACTGTATTTCTACTGCGGTGTTGAAGAGAATGGAAGATAAATACAGAATGACCATCTTCAAAAAAGAATGGATATCCTAACAATTTTATCAAAAAGTGTTTAAACTCAAGTTATAACACCAACAACAAGCCAAAGTCAAAGGCTATAAGAAAATTCATCCCAACGTATATATAAAATATCTCTGAAATAGAAGCTAGAATATTAAGACCGTTTCAAAATGGATATTAGCACACAAACTAGTCAGCCACAACAATCACTTCATTCGATATTGTGCAAACTAAAAGAAACAACAAGAAAGAAGATAGAAACATCAACACCATTTACAAAACAAATTGTATGAGCTGCAATAAACATTAAGTCTATCAAAATGGGAGTCCTCTTCGAATCCGAATGAAAGAACATTAAATAGGCTTTAAAAGACATGATATTTATTCTTCCATATGAATGCACATGGATAATTATGGACATGAATTTGATTAGCGTTATGTAGAAATTTGGAATAGAGGGCCAAGAGAGACGTAAATTAACAACTAGTCATGACAGTGGTTGCCAAGAGATACAGATACATCACTCATGGAGAATTTGAATGAGTTCATTTTGAACTCAAACCTGTGATGAAGTGATGTTGTCCAGTAGGACAGACGACAAAAGCTACTTAATTAAATCAACCAGCTCTTCAAAGAGTGAAATCCATTCAACCTACATAATCTTCTCTGATTAAAATTTATCAATTATTGAAAGTATTTTTTTCCTCTACACTTACATGATAATATCGTTTTGTCTAATTTCAGCTTGGAAAACGGAACTTCAGATGAAGAACGACTTGAAATTGGTGTCACAAATGACGTAATGGAGCAACCATATTTAGATTTTATTCAATGGTCACCAAAAAGTGATCGTTTGGTAAGCCCAAGAGATTTTACTTGCTTTTTCTCCATATTACTTTTTCTGTACATAATTTACTCTTCTAAAAGATGCACAAAGGAAGCTTGTTTTGAGATTGTTACTATTACCAGAAGGTAAGATGAAGCACAGCCATCGGTTACATAGCGGTTAAGACGCTCGCTGACCATGTACATGGTCCAGGGTTCGATCCCTGGCCAGCGTACTCCATTTCGTGGCTAAGCCAGAAATAATGCTGGTTAAGAGAGAAGGTTGGGCATGAAGCTAGCAACCCCATCCTGTAAAATAAACACTGCTAGAGAAACTTCAATCCACTAGCTTGAGGCCCTATATTCCACTGGGAACGTGAAGGAAAACTTATTAAAACAACTATTAAGAGAAAGCATGAAATTCATGTGACTTTGTTTAATAACGAGAGTCTAGCACCTTTTCGACAGAATTCGAGCTACTAACGAATGCTAAATTGGACAAACTAGATCCCGGCAAATTTACATTAATTCACTTTCTCAGTTAGCTGGAGTACATATCTAATATGTCTAATATGTTTACTTTGGTTAGACACGAGTAAGTAACTAGTGTAACGTGTTTAGTCCTTTGTTTGATGCAGACTGAATTCTATAAGAGTGCATTCTGAATTGTTGATATGAGATGATGGTTAGGGCAGTTATCAGGAAGCCCTAGACTCAAGGTTCTGTGCTGTCTGGCACTCACCAGCTGGCAGTGTATATCTGCAACCTTGAAGGAATTCATCTCCAATCAAAGTATCAAATACAGTCAAAGGAGAGGTCAGTCACGAGCCTGAATGGCTCAATGGCGACATCTCCAACTGCAGCACTGAGTGACTCAAGTTCAAATCTCAGAGGGGACATGAGTTCCTTCAAGATAGCAGATACGCCTTTCTGAATGGTGAGTGACAACTAGCTCAAAACCAAGGTAGAAGGCTTCCTCTTGCCGATTGCCTTCAACCATCTGATGTGTCGTTATTTATGTGTAACTCAAGCTAGTGGTCATCAGTGTGAGAATAACAGGAACTTGAAAATTCTCATTCAGTCATAGAAAAAAAAAGGTGTTCAGCAAAGAGTTACTCTTTTCGGCGATATCATTCTCAAGCTGTACAAATCGCAAATTTATAGTAATTTGTCTTGGCAACAAAAGGAATATTTCCAAAGATGTGTTAATGCAATTGTTAGTTTTTGACAAACAAATTACGTAATTTTGAAGGCGTTAATCGGTTAGAAACTAAAATAAAGTTACAAAAGTAGGTTGGGTGACGTAATCTAATTGATAGGGTTCAATGAAAAAATGAATGAGAGTCAAGTTAATAATCTGAGTAGAATTCACTTGAAAATGAATGAGAGTTAAGTTAATAAGCTGAGTAGAATTCACTTAAAAATAAACGAAAATCGAGTTAGCAACAGTCGTCATGAGCGTAGAGATTTAATAGAGGGTGGGGGTAGAAAATAATGCAATTAAGAAATAGACAAACAAAGAAGAAAGAGGTAAGACAAAATTACGTATTTGGTGTTAAGATAGATCAGGACCATTGTAGATTTAGTGACTGAACAAACTTCTTTTGTATGCAGAGTTCAGGATTCAATATGTGAATTGCCATTGCTTCTGCAGTTTGAAGAAGTTTAATTCGTACTCTTTTGGCAAGATTCCACGTATTGTGTAGATAACTGAGAAGTTGTTTTGTGGGTTCCGGATTCGATCAAGTGTTCTAGGATAGAGCTGTGGCGGGGGGATCTTCTTTCTCCTTTATAAAACCATGAAGGTAAGTGTTCGCTGATTCGTTTGGATAGCAAACGCTGGGTACGGCCGACATACCTAGCTCCACATGAGCAGGTGAATTGGTAGATGCACATTGATGAGGCCCCCAGTGGAAGCTTATCCTTCACGTTCGTGCGAATCATTGGTTTCGTAGAGAAAGTTAGTCTGAGTTCCGCTGCGAAGAAGGTTTTCTTCAGTGAACGGCACAGGCGGTTTCTCAGTATTTCTGCTGAAGAATCTCCGTTGAATTGTAGATTCAAATAGAGAAGTTTCTTGGGAGCAGTAAGCATGGATGGTTTTTGTGTTTTCGGCTTCATAGCTTTTGTGATGAAACGTTCCGGGTAACCGTTTTCAAGAAGGATTCTTTTCAGGGTCTTCAGCTCTTCTTCTATAGTTTCCGGACTGCAAATGTTGTGGATTCTGTGAGTCAGTGAGCGGATCAGATTTCGTTTTGTATATATAGGCACCCAACTGTGAAAGCTGATGAGTTGTCCATTCCATGTCGGTTTTCTGTGAATGGATCTTTTGAGTGTCCCATCTTGTTCGCGTCTTGCTAGTTGCACGTCCAGAAAAGATATTGTTGCGTTGGACTCCTTCTCTAGTGTGAACTGGATTGCTGGATGGCAACTGTTGAAGAAGTCCAATATGTTCTCCAAATTTTCCTCATTATTGGCGATAATAAAAGTATCGTCCACGTATCTCTTGTAGAATCCGAAGTTATCTATTATCTTCTTTAGGTGTGTATTTTCTAGTTTTGACATGAAAATATCTGCAAGCAGCGGGCCGAGTGGTGAGCCCATAGCTATACCATCTTTTTGTCTATATATTTCATTATTGAAAGTGAATTGGACGTTTAGAGTACATCTTAATAGGAGTTCCTTCAAATAGTCAGTGGGGATACCAATGTTCATCTCCTTTGAATCAATATATTCACATATATAGCATATTGTTTCGGTTAGTGGGACGTTTGTAAACAGTGATACCACATCTAGTGAGAACATGGTTTGATTGGAAACGCTGACGTTTTCAATGGAATTGACAAAATCGAAGGAGTCTCGAAGTGAGTGGCGGGAGATTTGCTTTCTGACTGGTTCTAGTATGTTTACTAGCCATTGTGCGGTACTGTGATAAGGTGAATTAGTCATATCGAGAATGGGTCGAAGAGGTACGAATAACAGGAGTTCAATTCACATTTCTCAAATTTATTAGCTATCGTTCAGATTACAGTATTTTTTTTATTACAGCTTGATTCCACACCGTATTTTTGGTACAAGTATGGAATTTTCAGCGTGGATATCGGTAGCCCAAAATTCGCAGGCCAACCATAGATATCAGGTACGCGTCGGCGTGGGCTCGAACCTCGGACCATGCGCATGGTCGGCGAGAGTCCTAACCACTGTGCCACCGATACTATGAATGGTAATCAAGGAAGCAAGCACATTTCCATAATGCCTTACACTATTGATTGACTGAGATGAGTAGGTGTATACTGACTTTATCAACCAGCACTGCTTGCCAACCACAGGGAGATGACTTCGAACGTTTAACCCCGAGGTCATCACAAGTACATCCAGCGGGTTTGACTAAGTTCTGAAAGCCGAGTTAGTCTTAACAATTAGATTTCTGGCCGAATACTGAAACGAACTGGTGATACCATAAATTTAATTCACAATCTGTAGATTAGTTACAGATCTTGCAATGAACCAGAATCGGGTACACCGCTGATGAGCTTGGCCACAAATAAGCGAAATGACCGTCCAGTATTCAGATCACCTCGATCTAACTAGCTAGCACCACTGGTTGATATGAGTGGTGTAAGGCTCCTCAACTCACTCAATCAGCAGTATGTAGTTTTATACAAATAACAGGTATTAGTTTAAGGAATGTGAAGATTGAGTACAGCTCGAACACCAGTTATTATATTTCATGTCCTGGCTATCTTAGGTATGAACTTAGTAATGTGGATGTAAGTAGTTTATAGAAAAGCGTTTTCAAAAAAAACAGAGGTAGTTTATATGACATTGATGTTTTGACTGAATAAGAAATGTGGGCAGATTATAACTGTGATAAAAATCTAATCACCATTAGACAATGAAGAGAAAGATACCCCTAACAAAAAAAAATTCACATCATATGCTAAAAGGGATTCAACCTCTTGTAGTTGCTATGGGTTCGCATTACCAGAGACTGTCCTAAACTACATGAAATTCGTTGACAAACTGCTGCTTCTCCAAGATTAAGTGGTTCAAGAGCGTTCATTTTAAACTCGAAAGAAACTAGCTTCTTTGTATTTCAAGTACACACACTATTACAGTCAACAATGTTACACAATTACCATGAGATAATTTTTTACAAATATAATCTTTGATTGGGTGTCTTGTTCACACTTCACTCTTTCTTCTATATTTTAGGCTTTTGTCTATCGAAAGAATGTTTATCTTCTTGTCAATCCATTCGATTTAGACAAAAAGAGAATTATAAATGTAACACATTCCTTACCACAAGATAATTGTTTGTATGGAGTATCGACGTGGCTGTATGAAGGTGAGTCAGTGAGTGCATAGGTGATAGAGTAAATTTTGTGAACTTTGACTTAGCAGATCATTAGTTCTCTTCATGAATTTTGACAAAACTTAACTAAAATGAAGCTTATTCAACCGCTGTTTTCATCAAAGGATAAATTATAATGCATACATTGAAGAGTAATGATGGAGGATATGAAAGCCACTCAGTTCGATGAGGTGAAGAGAGATTAACATACCTAGAAATATTTATGTTAATGGTAGATTCAGCCACGAGAAGACACCGTTCAATACGAAATTGAAAACTATAAAACACTGAAGAGTTGTCATTTCTTAAGTCTTCACCATTGCAGCATATGCTTACTTACGATATTATAGAAGGTTAAAATGAAAACCTTAAAATTTGTAAAGCCAAGTTTAGACCTGTTATATGAGTGTCGAAGGCGAGCAGTGATGAAGACTATTAGATCAGGCAAAAGTGGTTGTGGAACGAATGAAGGGTTTCAGTGTGGCTTATTTCGATTTTTGACGAAGGGTTTTTTAGAATTAACCTGACATTTCTAAAAATCCAAGTACTAGATTTATGCAGAGAAGCAGCAAAGGTTAGTGCAGAATAACTTGGGTCCATTTCGTTTTGTTGGCTCTCTTCAGCTGTATACAATCTATAACCTTAAAAACTTTAAGTGAGTGTAAAATTTAACATAACTTTATTTTTCAAAAGGCGTATTGTAGGAGCTGCGTAGTGAGATGAATCATCGGGATATTAGGGTAGCTGAAATATATGGTGCAAATATATATATATATATATATATGTACCTCGTCAGAAGAGAGTTTCTCGAAAACTAGTCAAAAATTTGTTGCCAGGGTAGTTAAAATTACTTAGTTAGGTAGTAGAAGATCTAAACACCGTTGTCCAAGAGGTCAGATGAAAAGATGGTGATATAATACGGTGAGTAGAACTCATAAGATCAAGAAAAACTATCTCTTATGGATGTCAAACAGAAGAATCGAGGCGACGGAGGGTGTTGAATGGATAAGTTGATGAAGTAAGAAGCCAAAGCCTTATTAAGAGATGAGTCGTCAGGGTAACTACAGCCCAACGACTGATTCATATCGGACACACACGTAAGGTTTCAGTCGATTTATCACCATAGCTGCAGCAAACTAAAGATGACCTGAGCTATTCTGTCTATTAATTATTTTAAAATATCCCAGTGCGTTTACTCAGCGTCCAGGGTCTATCAGATAAGTGAAGAGACTGATCTGCTTAGCCACCTTAACGGGAAGCACATTGTGAAATATTATTCTTCCAATGTTACTGCTGCCACAGATACATGTGGAATGGAATACATAATTGAAGGGAATATACGAGGGGTAATTGACGATCTTTGACTGCACCAACGAGGAAGATGCTCAGAGCAGATGGGTTGATGCAACGGTTTGTCTCACCATGACATTCTTATAATATGTTTGTTGATAAACAAAATTATGTTGAATTTTACTGTGACTTTTATTGATTAAATAATATAGGCTGTGTGCAGCTGATGAGAACCAATGAAATAAAATTGATCCATGTTATTCTGCACCAATCATTTTTCCTTCTCTTCTTCAATTTATAAAAAGCAATTTTTTTATGAAAATCTAAATTTATGCATGAAAAGTTAAAGTACTTTGTGGATTGAACAAAGAATAAGATTCACTACTTGAGATCGTGCATGCAAAATTGTTTCTCTAAATGAAACGATTCATAGGCCTTGCTAAAACTTAAATTTCCTTTGGCAATCAACCAACTGACAACCTATTGTCCAAAAAACAAGCGAAAGGAAATTCAGATGAACTGAACACATGCCACGAAGATTACGGAGTGACATCACGTGCAAGGCCGTGGAACAGAACCCGAACGAGGGGGACAAGTTGATCGTCTAATGTATGCATGATCGAAAGACTTATGAGCACTCATAAACCCAGCAGAAAAAGACTGCAAAGAACAGAATAAAATGAAAACGGTCTGTTCGAGCCATGTGTTTCACTCGGGATCCACAGTAATAATAAAAAAGCCTCCTGTTATCTTATCTATGCATGTGTAAGAGAAATAGAAGAGAAAAATAAGAGCATTACTGTTGTTTACTTGACACAATGCAAAATGGAAAGGTTATATCTAATAAGTGACATTTGTTAAAATAACAGTGCATGCCGAAGTAATAAAATCTTCTTAAAAGAACGGCTTCCCACAATACTTAAATGTTGGAAAATGAACATAAAGTCTGTGTACACCACCAGTCTCAAAGAGAACTAAGTATATGAAACTGTAGGTGATTGGTAACACTGCTATTATAATTCTCACAATCTGACTCTTAACAGTTTCTTGTAAGCTGTCATGTAAAGTTGTAGAATTACATTTTCTGTCATTGTTGCAAATATTACATCAGATGACTGCAAATTGTGTCTTTCAATAAATAAGCGTCTTTAGAATGGATTACATGAGTAGTACACAGGCCTACTTCTCCAGGTGTATTTCATAGCACCGATCAGCGTATTTTAGCCAGACAATTTAGAAGGATAGTCAGCGAAATTGCCTACTTTCGCACTCATAGATATCTTAACCTTCCTGACTTATTCTTCTAAGTAATTTACAGAAACTTGTCTTGACTCCTATTTCCTCCCTTCTATTCTGCACAATACGTTTTACTACAGAAACGTTTTCTGGAATATTTCAGCTGCCCATTTAATTTTAAACTGTTCTTTCGTAAATGAAGATATTTTTGTACAGCTACGGAAAATTATTCCTCTAAGAAACCCATTCTCAATTTAATTCATCATTTGTAATATACATAGTTTGAGAAAAAATATTTTAGGTCGTTTATGTTGAACCGTGTCAGAAAGTTCATTTGAGTACCCGATATTACTGGTTGGAAATGGCTGAGACAGAATTCACACTGTTCCCGAACAAAAGTTTGACGGCATGAGAGTATTATCCCTAACCAACCTGCATGCCAGCATTCCCGCCTTTTTTCTCTGAGCAGTGTGATAGGAAACGCCGACCACACAAAAATGGTACATTCCCAGTAAACCTATGGCAGTAGATAGGCATTATCAAGGTCTCTACACAAACATACTTGCAGAAACCACATTTTTTCCCAATATTGAAACTTTATAAACATCAAAAACTTTAATTATGTCTAGATTTTGGTCATAGTGAAGGCATGTTTTATCAAAATGTAGAATACTTCAATTCAACTAGTTTGTGGACAGTTTTAAATCCAAATCTAAAAGCACCTACAATCAACACGGGATTCTCCGTGGCGAAATTAAACCTTTATTTGTAAGGAACACCTTTCATTAATAGAAATCTTTATCAGGTGGAAACCCTCCCCCCTTTCTTGTTTGTCACTTCTGAAAGTTCCTATGAAATTGAACTTACATGCGGAAATATATAGCACAAGAATGTCAGTTTTTATAATCTTCATTACACATTTACATGGTATCTCAGCATACGAACAAGATCAGCTGATTAAACCGGGTGAATATAGTGATAACATCAGAATTAGCCACATGATATGAATACTTAAAGTACAATCACAGCTGTGAATATAAATTATGTATCCACACCAATTCATAAAAGTTATTACAGAATAATGTTGGCCAGAAGGAATATTCTGGACCGAAAAAAAGACGCTGATTTATGTCTAATGTCACATAAACTCGATGACCTACAGATAAAAAACAACAAACTCCCGGAAGAAGCAGCACATACAGGACTTCGGGTGAACATACAGAAGATGGAGATGGTGAAGATAACCATTCAACAACTACAACAATTAGTACCATTTATTATCAACAGAACAAATTTAAAAGATGTTGATTGCTTCGTTTATCTAAACAGCATCGTTACAACTACAGCACACTCCGTGGATGAGGATGTCAAAACTACAATCGAAAAGGCAAGGAAGATCTTCATCACTCTGAAGCAAGTTTGGAAATCTTCCGCACTCAGCATGAAGAACACGATTCAGATTTTCAACATAAACGTTAAAAAATGTTCTTCTATAGGAGTCAGAAACTTGGTGAACAAACGATTTGGACATCTGAAGATGATAAGAAAGAGGTGATGTGAGGTGGAGATGACGTACTGGGAGCAACTGTGGGGCCAGATAAAGAGGACGGCAGAAAATAGGACGAAGTGGAGACTCACTGTTGAAGGCATTTATTCCACTCAGAGCCATATGACCATTCATCATAATGATGACCAGCAGTGAATTTGAAATGTCAAATGTCATTTTATTGGGTAAAACATCAACTGAGTGTATCTACACACCAATGTGTGAAAGTGTTCCAAGATTGTAAGCCATGTCTCATTGCTTCAAATTCCACAACATAACCTACCGAAATTAGAGGCTACAAGTCTCGCCACTCGTTTCCCACATTGCTTTTCCCACTTGACAATAGTGCTTGGTCTCTGTTGACAAAACTACGCAAATTCAAATATTGATCTTGAAGGGATTGTGTTTGACTGGTTAGAGGATTTCATCATGAGGTGACATCAGTCAGAGGTCCACTGGAAAATCATCTGGAAGTGATGCACAACTATTTCGTCAGCTCATTTTGGGACTCTTCATTGGTACACACCCACGGGTTTCAAACCCAGCATCATTTCCTTTTTCATAACTGACTTTGTAACATACAACACAGAACCTTTCACAGAACCATTTTGAGCCATATCCCCAACAGTCTCCATTCATGAGTTCTTGGTATCTCGAAGACCCTAACTAGGTGGCTTACACCATCTCGTTTGCCTGAAAACAGCTATCATTTTCTTCCTGAATTGACACCAGGTTTAGATTTAACCATCCCTGACTTTCTCCAAGCCGAATCAACCACAGCTACTATCAGGGTAACAACTCTGTTGATTTGACATAACTTTTTCTTGTTTGCTTGTTTTTTTCCCAACCACTTGAAACTCTTACGTAATTTCGTATGTTGTTTTGCTTCCATATGCACCTTGAGGACAACTCTTTCATCAAACTATTCATGTTACCATGTAATTCTTCTTTAAAAATCGATTGTGACAACTCATCAGTGTTGTTACTACCCTCTTTTATCAACATCCAATTCCTCTGAACACCCTTTTTGTTAGGTAACTCCACCAAAAAACTTACTAACTGTATTTCCGTTTGACAAATTTAATGTAAGTTCACATTCAAAACAACCATATATATATATAGTTGCGATTGTACAACTATGAAAACGAATTCGTCAAAAAGTGACTCTTCGCTGAACTACTGGTCTTCTGTCTATTAATCCCATGTTAGCGAACATTGCCAGACAAAGAAGACAGTGGGATCATCATCATCAATGTAATTTCACAACCTCATCGTCTGACCTCCTTCTTTTACCTAGTCCTCCACGCCTAACCGCAATATCGCACACTGTATTATACCCTTTAACAGGAGAGATGGATCACAAACATATATGGTCAAAGACAGCTAGTCATTGCATATCTTCCATTTTCAAAGGTTATGTTTTGTAACTATAAAGAAGGACAAAATTTACCTCTGCTCAGTACACACTTAATTTGATCTATAGACGGATGACATATACAATCCTTTTGTACCATAGCTGGGATCCTTCCGTGCCCGATTCCTCATATCAAACTTCTACTCTTTCTGAAAGTGATGCTGACTTAACCTTCTCTGTTTGTTTGTTATTTGAAACTGAGAGTATGAATGATACAGATTCTGAAATATTCATTTCTATGCTAGAACAAGGTATGATAACTATGCCGTTGTACAGCCTGACAATGAAATATCCGAATGCCCTACTTTTTCTTGATTTATTGAAGGTTTTCATAACTAACTTTCCTTCTTAATATTTGTTGTCTTTTGTAGAAGAAATTTTTGATACCAATAAAGCCTTATGGTGGAGTAAAACTGGAAAATATTTAGTTGTAACTGGATTTGATCAAAGAAATGTTTCTACTCATGAAATACTTAAATTTGAAGATGAAAATGAATTAAAGGATAAAAATGTTAAGATTAAATATCCTATGGTGAGTTAAATTGGATTCTATTTTGATGAGATTTATGATTGGTTACAGGATTGGTCATGCGTCGACATCTATTAGAAAGAAGAGAACACGAAGTTCAGCAAAGATGGCGATCTTTTCGCCGATTTCATTCACAAAAGCAGCTGTACAATCGCATTTATATAGATTAGTTTACATGGATACAATTATTATTTCAAATCTTTAAATATTCCCATTTATAATATTAGAACAAGACATATAAGCGAACAATATTGTTTTCAATTCGATCTTCTTCAGGCTTTACTCTAATTTACATAGACTTATATATATAAAATTTTAACCAACGACGGTGATTTTGTGGATCAACTAATAATAGTCATAATAATAATAATGTGGTAAATGTTTTGAACGAAGTTAATAACGATGATTATAATAATAACAAAATATTGATAATAAGGCTTATATAGGTGATAAGAATAACAAAGTTCCTATATGCATATATGTAGACAATTCAATAAATAAATAAATTAGGTCAAATCAAATGGAACGATAATCAGAGTTTAAATAAATATCATAAAAAAACGAAGGAGAGGTATGATAAGAAAGGGTGGGAGGGTTTTGAATTGAATTCACCTAGGCCAAGGAAGGGAGAGACAAAGGTAGAACAAATTTCTTTTGTATACAAAGACTTGGATTGTTCTCTCGAATCGATTCCCATAGCTTCGGCTAAGTGTAAAAGACGGGTTCTGATTCCGTTCGAAAGACTCGATGGAATGCGGTAAATAACTTTGAAGGCGGCACTATTTTTGTCCACTTGGTGACCACTATCAATCAAATGAGCCAAAATAGAACTTCGTATGGATTTTATTTGACCTTTTCCGAACCATGAAGGAAGATGCTCATTAATGCGTTTGTTAAGCTGTCTAGTTGTTCGACCTATATAGCTTTCTCCACAGGAGCAACTAAATTTATAGATAGACAGTTGTTTCTTTTTAACTGTTGTCGGTTTTTCTTTATTGTACTTCGCATTCATGTGTCTCCTGACAAATCTACCAGGATAACCCATTTGGACTAACGTACTTTGGATGTATTCTAGCTCATTCTCTAGGGAGTCATCTGTACAGATGCGCCTTGCTCTATTCGTCGGGCATCTGACCAAACTGATTTAGTATCGGATTGGTACATAACTGAGGAAATGTGTATATTGTATTGTATATTGTCCCGATAGATTAGTTTACATGGATACAATTATTATTTGTTTAATTCCACATAGTAACGAAGGTGATAATAATTTTCAATTTGATATGAAAGTTTGAAGGTACGAATGTAGATCACAAGGGGGTTAGAGACAAGATTTCGTGGGATTAGAAAATAGTTACAACATATGCGAAAATTAATATTTGATAACTGGAGAAATAATTTTAAGTCAAATAGAAGGTGATAATTGTGGTTTCAACTTGATATGAATTATAAGAGGCTTAGAAACGCAGAGATAGAACGAATTACAGGTGTGAACAAAAATGAGCATGGAAATAAATTGAAATCAATATTTTTTTTCCAACTTGAAATATTAGTTAGAAGGTATGAATACAGACTCAAATTATTATTTCAAATTTTTCAGTTATAAAACTAGTTATTTTAATTTTGTTTCCATGCTCCTCCTGATCACACTTGTAATCCGTTTAGAATAACCATTTTACAATTATACTCTAATCCTGTATAACTTTTTGTTTCTATGCCTCTTGTAATCTATATTCACACACACCTCCTAGTTACATTTCAAGTTGAATATTTGATTTCAATTTGTTTCCATGCTCATTTTTGTTCACACCTGTAGTTCGCCCCATCCCTGCGTTTCTAAGCCTCTTATAATTCATATCAAGTTGAAACCACAATTATCACCTTCTATTTGACTTAAAATTATTTCTCCAGTTATCAGGTATTATTTTGCATATGTTGTAACTATTTTCTAGTCCTATGAAATCTTGTCTCTAACCCCCTTGTAATCTGCATTCGTACCTTCAAACTTTCATATCAAATTGAAAATTATTATCACCTTCGTTACTATGTGGAATTAAACAAATAATAATTGTATCCATGTAAACTAATCTATATAAATGCGATTGTACAGCTGCTTTTGAGAATGAAATCGGCGAAAACATCGCCATCTTTGCTGAACTTCGTGTTTTCTTCTTTCTAATGTCCATATGGATATTTTCCACGATTTATTAGAGGATCATTGAAAAGCCAACTGAGAAATATTGGCTAGCTGTTTCTCCCGAGCGGAATCTACCAATAGGCAGGGGGACAGTCACTAATCTTTGACACTGAGTTTACAGTTGAGCTAAAAGTCGCAAATTGTCAGTAGATGAAAATTCTGGAGCATTGTATGAGGGTCCAGTTGGTGAATGCTGTACCAGCTTGTCTCGACGCAAGAAGGTCCTGAGCTGGAACCCTAATGAGCGCATATTGTTGACGAGTCCTAAACCTGGATAAAACCCCTGTCTAGTACTTCCCGATTCCTGAATCTCCCCCATTATTATTTTCTTTTGATATCCCTTGAATAATAATAACATGTGGCTCACATGGCCCAGTAGACTAGTATTTGACAGCTTCGTGGGTTCCAAGTTACATCACAAATGATTATCAGTTAAAGAATCATTGAAAATGGTGGAATGAAAGATAACTGTTGCGTCCTGTTTCAAGACAGTTTAACATCACGATTTTCTTGCTGTTTGAAAAAGATCAGGTCTGGGTTGTAGTGTCCATAGAAACCCCCCCCCCACTGAGCGAAATCTAAAAACGTTATTCCTAAGTGTCCCAGGTAGACTGAAACAGATTTGATGAAACAATCACATAACAAAGACTTCGTGTTTTAAAATAATGAACGGGAGATCAATAATAATCCACTAGATGAATGATTTTGAATCAATTCTTTCGTTAACAAGTGCCCATTAGAAGTAACGAAGACTTGGATTCGCTTTAATTGTTGGAGTTAATCATAACAGTTTTAAAAGTCAACTATGCTTCTTCAGTACTGACTAACAATTGTGCTGAGCGGATTAGCAAGTCTTACGTATATGGTAGCCATCAGAGAGTGATAACCTCATCGGTTAAATTTTCCTCACATACCTAATATCAAGTTTGACCTCATTATTACTGAGTGAACCGCTTCAACTACTGCTGATATTCCTACCATACCTTTTCATATAAGAGAGATATCAGACTCCGTGGGCGAAGTGCTAATCAAGACACCATACTCAAATTTACTCAGATGGCCAAGACCTTAAGTGAATGATGATAAAAGGTTGTAGGATTCGGAAACATTCACTCCCAGTAACGTTTTTGATTCTATTAAATACATATTGATGGTTTTATTTCTGTTGCACTTCAGGCTTTCAAAGAATAATTAACTCGTCGACTATTCGTACGTAGACAAATATAGACATTGTAGACGAAGAGTCTGATAAACGTCAGCTTTTGCATCACTTCTAGTTGATATCTGGGAATGTTTAGCGTTATGTTATGCCTATCAAATGTAAGATAATACTCAAGGCAATGGAATGAAAGCAGCTGAACGTATTAGCTGCTCTATTATTTTTTTTCCTTGGATTCCGAGTTGAACGTAGGGGTTCAGCACACACACATATCCACTTTGTTCTATTTTCTGCCGTCCTCTTCAGATGGGTCCACAACTGACCATATTCTCTCATCTCCTCCTTACGTGATACCCTCCATGTGCGTCGGTGGCACAGTGGTTAGAATTCTCGCCGACCATGCACATGGTCCGGGGTTCGAGCCCGCACCGACGCACACCTGATATCTGTGGTCGGCCTGCAAAATTTGGGCTACCGATATCCATGCTGAAAATTCCACACTTGTACCGAAAACACAGTGTGGAATCAAGCTGTAAATAAAAAAAAATGACGATCCACTCGTCGGTTCCCATTCGGATTCCACACACATGATGGTCTGCACTGCGTGGGATGTCATTCAATGGCCTCCTCAATGTATGCCTAATCCATCCGTCTCCATTTTCTCCTACATATTTGTTGAGTGAACGGCTCTTGGTTGATTTGTTCTTAGCCAGAGTTTATAGTTACTTGTTCTTTCTAGACATTCGGTCTTCAGTAGGGATCCAGAGAAGTCAGCTGTTGATGGAAGTCTGCAGTGACCTGTTGGAAATCTTTTGTTTTTTGATACGCAGGATAAGTTTCTCACCCGTATAGGAGGACCAAATTGACATTGGTGTTTAAAAATCCGAATCTTGTTTTCTTAATTCTAGCTAAATGCAGAAGATTTCGAAACTGGTTTCAGTTCGTAGATGGCGTATCCTGCCTTGCAGACTCTGCCTGGCTGGCTTTGAAACCTTCATCTGTTCTGACTGCCTGTAGTTGAAACGATGCTGGCTGTCTAGATAATCGAAGCAAGTAACCTCTGTTGGATCTCTGCAGTTGATGGTGTTTTTTCTGTGTTCGCTTGAAGTCCTTTCCTCACTATCATCTTTCTATGACAAATTGTTGGTTTTCGATAGCAAGTCTTCGAGTTTGTGTAACGTTAAACATAAATCATCCTCCGCAAAATCCAGATGTTCCAGAGTCTTCTGATTGGTCCAGTGTATTCCTGTCTTCTTATTTCCTATGTAAAGTCTGATGCCTAACCCAGTCCACCACAATTAAGAATATAATTATTGGTAAAGGACACCCAGCTTGTCTCATTCCTGTATTCACTTCGAACGCCTCAACGATTTTTCTGTTTTAGATCACCTGACACTTCGCATTGTCATAAAGCGAGCTGTTTAATGAGGTTGATAAAGAGTTCGGCAATACACGCCGTTGCTCTGAAGCAGTTACCAAATTAATTTCTTATTCAACTCTGTCGAAGGTCTTTTCGAAGTTAATGGAGTTGAGTCAGAGGTTTGACAGCCATTCTATGCAGTCAAATGCATTGACTGGTCTACTTATCTTGAGATTTCCATCATCGCTCACGGACTTAAGCATCATTTTTGGCTCTGGCATGATATCCGGCTACGTAACTGAGAGCGTCCTCACTACTTAGGACTTTTTCTGGTCATAAGTTATAGTGAAGACTAATCTAGTATATACACTTTTAAATACTTATGGAATATTTCCACATTTTTCCAAGAAGGCTACAGAGATCTTTAAATTCATATGAAATTCATGTACATGTTTTCTTTATTTTGTCTTATTTCTTAGGCTGGTGAAACATCCCTGTATAACAATCCAGTTGCTACTCTCTATTTATTCGACAGTGAAGGACAAAACTATCAAATAATTCCTCGACCACACTTGGTTCCTTGGTAAGAGTTTTAAAACTTTATACATTCAGTTCATTAATTCTTAAAATGTTAGTAGCACTTTGCAGACATACAAGCATGCACACACTATATTAACGAACCGGCATTCACTTTCTACTACAGTTACATGAGTAGGTCTGCTTCAAAATACCCGGATGAAGAATTGTGGAATAAATCAGAAACCTTTATAGTGGAGTGGTAGAATTATGGAATCACCATTTCATCCTATTCTCTGCTGCTCTCTTCAGCCGCCTGCAGGACTTTTCATAAGCTCTCATCTCATTCTCATACGATCTCAACCATGTCACAATCAGACACACCTATAGCTCGTAATTTCCCATATGAGTTCAACTCAAGCACTGGCCCATCTAGAGGTGTCGCCCAGCGGTCCCGTCAGAGTATATACGGTCAATCTCCATTTTTTGGCTAATTTCCATGATAAGTTTTTTTGAATTTCTTGATGACAGTTCTTTCTGGTCATCCAATGTTCAGCATGGAATGATGGTGGCTGTTAATAAATGTCTTACAGCAGCCTATCTGAAACGCTTGTCGTGACGCACCGAGTTTCAAACACACGCAGCAAAATCGACTTAACATTGATATTGAAAATCCGATATTTTTGTTCTTCGTGCTGAGTGCATCAGATTTCCAAACTGATATGAATACCAACAGCTTAACGACGATGCAACAGATTGCAGCTCTTGGTGAATTCATGAAAGGATACTACGTCTTTCGATACTGCCGAGATATTAGATGGTCGGAGGCAATCGGCCACAGGAAGCTTTGGACCCAGGTTTTGTGCTAGTCAGTACTCGTCAGCAAGGTGTACCTGCAATCCAAATAGCCCGAATAGCTCAATGGTTACATCTGTGACTGCAGATGGCAATGAGGGACGCGGAAAAAAGAAGACAAGGATAAGTTAGACCACCGTTAAGAAGACTCTAGAAGATCTGGATTTCGCTGTGGACAATTTAGGTTTAATGTTACACAAATTTGAAGACTTACGGTTAAATAATCAGTGAACAGGAGGAAGAAGCAACAAAGAAAGAACTTCAAAAGAACATATAGAATACAGATGTAACGAAAATAATCACCTAACAGCAAGCACTGATTACTATTAACGACAGAAAGTTGAAATAGGTAACCTTCTTCACTCATCTAGGAAGCATGTTTTCAACTGCAGGCGAAACAGATGAAAATGTCAAAACTGGAATCAGCTTGGCAAGACTAACCTTCATCATTCTGAAAATGATTTGAAAATCTTCGCCACTCACTCAATATTAAGAATAAGTTTCGGATTTTCAAACTCATTGTTGAGCCACTTCTTCTAAATGGGTCAGAAACTTCTACCGCACGTTATGGAAAGCATTTCTGGAAGGCCGTGGACCTTTAATTAACCGCTACGATGAATTCTTAGAATGAAGTAAACAAGAACCTACTGCTCAACACAAATGATGAAAACTCTGAGGAGACAGTCGAATGGTATCACGCGCTAGGCTTTTGCTTGAACGGAACGACGAGTAAGATTTCCAAGAGAAACATGGCGGAGATTATACGGGGAGGAGGTGAGAGACTATGGATATAATCGCAGGGTCAGCTAAACAGGACCTCAGAGAACACGACAGAGTAAAAGATGTGCTATTGAAGCCCTATATTCCACTCTGAACTCAAGGAAACAATAATCATAATAATACATTATAATATACACAAGTATCGAATCAAATTCGATATCAGATATCAAAGTAAATCAGCATGAAAAGCAGGGAATGCATATGCTATTAAGCGCATGTGATTATTATTCACATTGAATCTTTTTTGATCTGATAATAAACCTCAAGACTGAATGATACCATCAGAAGGAGAGGAGCTAAAATAGAGTTGAAGGTTTTGTGTGTGTGTCAATGGGTAACTGAACGAAATATGGAATAAGATTAGAATTCATATTTAGGATTTTGTAGGAATTCCAACTGTTATAAATCAGACAAAACAAAGAAGACATTGTGTCATTTGATCACATCTTCACCAGTTTACTGCCTATGATCAAAACTAATGATCATATAACAATTTGACTTAATAAGATCAACTATTTGAGAGAGGTGTGCGTCGGTGGTATAGTGGTTAGGACGCTCGCCGACCATGCACATGATCCGGGGTTCGATCCTCTACCGACGCACTCCTTTACCTCGCTGAGCCAGAACTAATGCTGGTAAAGAGGAGAGGTTGGGCATGAGGCTAGCGACCCCATCCTGTAAAAATAAAACATTGCTACAGAAACTTCAAGCCACTGGCTTCAAGCGCTATGTTCCACTGGGGAACGTGAAGGAAAAAAAATTTGAGAGAGGTCGCTTCCTTCAATTATCTAGGAGATATTGTTCCAACTATAGTTGACTGCACAGATGAGGATGTCAAACCCAGAATCGGTAAAACATGACAGACCTTCATTACTCTGAAACCAGTCTGGAAATTTTTGTTACAGTCAGCATGAAGAACGAAATTTGGATTTTAACACTTCTGTTAAGTCAGTTAGTTACTCTATATCACTCAGAGACTTGACAGACTCATCACAAAAAGCCTTCATAACAGATTGTGGACTTTTATTACTAGCTGCTTTCACTGCCTCCACCCTGAAAATCAGACGGTCAGAAAGGATTAGTGACTAAAAAATCCAAAATGAACCAATAAAGAACCTCTCAGTAGACAAATATCTCTGTTTACCTGTCTATCTGCTTTCAACATAGAACTTTGCACCAATCTACAGCAGTTCAAATCACCACACTCAACAAAAGAAGAAAGTAGAAGAAATGCAAAAGAGAGACAGTAGACAGGGATATGAGAAAAAGGAAATTTTAAAACCGAAAAACAGTATAGTTTCATTGGAAATCATAAGTCACAAGGAGTGGATGCATCTGTGGCGGCCATTGAGAACGATTTTGAGCCTTATCACCGATTATCTCCAATCATTGGTGTTTACCGTCCCAGGACCCCAACCAGAAAGTCTACTCCTCCCTACGTGACTGGCTTATAATAACTGTTTTGGATTTCATTGACTAATGCCCTAATTGGTTTGACCACCACTGGCTCTTTTTCAACCTGACCCTATGTCAGCTAACATAGCCCGTCAGTTGAGGAAGTCAGTGACTAGGGATTCATGCATTACAGTCTCAGTCGATGTAACTTCATAGTCTCGTCTATTGATTTCGCCTAGCTACCTAGCACTCAGCCGATGCCTAACCTCAATATCGTTCACCCTGTTATACCACTTCACCCAGGAGATAGAACGCAAGCACCTGTGATCAAAGACAGCTAGCCAGGGTTTTCATGTCTTCCACTCTCAATGGCCAGGTCTTACAGCAATAAAGGAGGACGGAGCAGACTGCTGAGCAGTATACTTACTCTTTGGTCGGCAGCCAGATATCATGTCTACTATGCCAGGGACGGTGTAAACTGTCATACGCGAAGCTAGCCCACTGCATCAGTGCCGAGATTTTGTCAGTGATCAACTCGATAGTGTCGGCTGATGCAACTTCCCGAATAATTGAAGTGGTCAACGTGCTCCACTATTTCACTCCCTATTTCTAAGCTAGGAGTCAGTGTAATCCACTCCTGTAACATCATCTTACATTTGGTAGTAGTGAATCGCATGCCAATCATTCGTAGATTGCAGCTCAAGGTGTTCAGAAGACTCTGAATTATGTCAGCTTCTTCAGTCAGGAGCGAGGACCATGTCATCTGCATATTCTAAGTCAACAAGATTATTCCCTGGTAGCCAGTCAATCCTTTAGTCTCATATGAGTTAGGGTTATTAATAGATCTATGATGAAGTGGAATAAAATAGGGATAGTGAGCATCCCTGACGGACACCACTAGTTTTCACCACTTAAGATGACAACTCTCCGTAGGCCCTCACTTGACTGATTTCGAGTAGAGTTCCTTCATCAGTGCAATGTATCTTCTCGACATTCCTTTTACACGCCAAGCATCACCATAGTTCCTCTCGGTCAACTGAATCAAATGCCGCCTTCAGGTCAAAAAATATATAACGATTACTAGACTCCAGTAAGTATGCCTATACTCCAGAACCTTTCGAAGGGTGAAGATATGACCAATACACCCTCTTCCTGGTCTAAAGCCTGACTGGTTCTCTCGTCTTTGTGCCTCTCGAGCACCACTTTGTCCATGCATGTTTATTGAGCCTAAAACTTTAGATACCATATTAGTCCAGCTAATCCCTCTATGATTATCACAAATATCCTTAAGAAAATGAGTATCGATCGGACATATACATATACGCACACTGAGAAGACCATCGAGTGGCACTGCACGCCAACCTTTGAGTATAACCCTATCAAGAAACGATCAGTTCAGCATCTGAAGACTACACAGATGTGATAATGTGATGAGTAAATGGGAGCTCATGGACATAGATGAGGTCTCCTGAAGAGGACTGTACAAATCAGGCCTAAATGGTGGGTGTATTATTGGATCCATATGTAATCATAATGATATAATAATAATAATGTCAGCTAAACTAAGTGTTTTTCTCCACCGTATTTCTACAGTTTGATTATTTCTGTGTTTGATTGTATGTGTCTTTATTTATACTTCAATAACAGGGATGCATTGCTGGTGTTGACACGTTGGATGAATGATGACATTTTCATACATGCATGGACAAATCGTATACAAAATCGTGGCTGGATATGCGTCTTCAGTAGGACACTGAATGAAAGTTGGGTTGTAAGTATTTTAAGTGTAAATAATAATAATAATTATACCTTTAATGTAAATTTCGTCATGAACTGATTGTTTCATCCTATTTTAAGACACCTGACTCCAACTAGGATCAAATTCAGTTGTTAAACAATATCCAAGCAATCGTATTGGATATTCTTGAACTTTTTAATAAATATTCAGCATGAATTTGGCTTTGGATGGCGGTGAAAACTCAGAATGTCATTTAGGACGTAAAGCTAAAGACTTTTAGTCATCCACACAAATATAATCACTAAACATAGTGATATTCATTTATTTATTACTGCTGTTCTTTCAGATTGCAGCATAGGGCTTCAGGCTTTAAGCTCCGAACTTTCAGAATTTCTTCTATTTATAGAATGAGAGGCTGTTAACCTCCAGCGCCATCTTTCCACCACTACCCTAGTTACTACTGGTTACGGGGGGTTTAGAAGTGCGTCAGTCAGGGGTCGAACCTGAGTCACACCCCTGGCTCGTGAGAATTTTACCTCTGAACCATCGACTGGTTTTTAGGTTTAGTGCGGCGTTATCCATTCTGTCGACGACAAAATAGGAACTCTCCTAAGTGGTGTTCAGTTCATATATGGATTTCTTAAGCTTTATGAATTTAAACAATTTTCCTGATGCCTTCAAATTAACTTAGGCTTTATTTGGTCAACCGTGACTACCAGTGAAATCAAGGATGAGCATTTCACACTACATAGGACTCAGTAGCTGGATGTTGCAACAACCATCAGTGAGTGATGATTGTTCCCATTGGGACTTTGATCAAGAGCCGGCTTTCTCAAACACTGAAGCATTATCTACGAGAATCACTTATTGGGCGAGAAGTGTCGGACAATAGATGTTTGCTCAAGTTGTTTTAGTTCAAATATTTTCTTTTTTTTACCATTTGATCAAATATTTTCGTTCCCTAAGTTATATCCAGAGGCTGAAATTTTTCGGTTAAGTAATGACCGACTAACTGGTTTCAACGTAGAACTTTGTACAAGTGTGAGGGAGCTCGGTTTGCCACATTTCCTTCATGTAGCATACAAGTATGAGAAGCGAGTAAGGAGATACTCAAAAGGGATGTAATAGAGAGAAGTATGAGGAACAAAGATTAGTAATATGGGAGAGCAGTAAAATTTCAGTGGATATGATAAATGAGTCTGTGCTAGCCGTTGAGAATGCTTTTGAGCCATATCACCAATTGTTTCCAACTTTCATTGATTTTCACTCTCCCGAGGACCTCAACCAGGAAGTCGAAACCTTCTTACATGGCTGGCTTAAACTAACTGTTGTGGATTTTACTGACTGATGAAGCCATGTTTTGGTTTGATCACCACTAGCTCTTTTCTAACTTGATCCCTCGTATGTCAGCTAACATTTCGCGTTGTCGAGGAAGTCGATGCCTAGGTATACGTATTACATGTCGTAACCATCTCAGTCGATGTAAATTCATAACCCAGTCGGCTGAATTTCCCTCCATACCTAAGACCAGATGTCTCACTTCAAAATTACTCATCCTTTAGTACTACCTAACATGGAAGATGGAACGTAGACACCTATGATCAAAGACAGCCAACCAGCATTTTCATGTCTCTAACTTTCAAAGGCCATGTCGCGTCAAACCCACTGTGCAGTATATATGTCCTTTGGTTGACAGCGGGATATCACGTCTAAGAAACCAAAGATGGCGTAAGTTGGCGAATGCCAAACGAGCCTTCTGTATCCGTGCTGAGATTTCTTTGGCGATTGGCTGGTGCAACTTCTAAAATAGGTGAATTGGTCAACACTCTCTACCACTTCACCTCAGCCTATCCTAAAGTCAGGAGTCAACTTAGTACAGTCATGTAGTATCATCTCACATTTGACAACAGGAACGAATCGCATACCAAACATCCAAAAATTTACGCTCAGGATGTTTAGAAAACTCTGCATTTCGTCAGTGTCTTCATCTGCATATTCTGAGTCAACGAGAATACTACATGGTAATACTATCTCATGAGGATTTCTATTCCAAATTAAAATATGTAACTGCCTGCAAATACAGTTGGTACAAAGCTGTCATCGTTAAGCCAGTGGTTAGCATGGAACAAGTGATCTGTGTGCACTAACAATTAAGCACTTCTTTCTTTTCTGTGCTGGATCCTAAAAGTAGTCATTTAGCGGAATGTTCTGAGCCTACGTTTCAAGAGAGTTTGCAGTCACCAACAAGGAAATTCATTCACATTTCATGATTAGAATTCGCATAGCTTGTCAAGCAAGTCAATAGTCTTAACTAGAATGTTAGTGGGATTCTCACGATGCAGGGTAACAGAAAAATCGGTTACTTTAATGAATGTCGATCAATAATGATAATCAAAAAAATACCCAACAGAAACTTGGAGTAAAAAGAGCAACAAGTTCAGCAAAAGATATCACTCCAAAGATTTCATTCTTGAAAGATGATGTACAATCACATTTATATACATAAATCTACATAGTTACATGTATTATTTCAATCTGCATAATAATGAGGAGAAGACTGAAGCTGATAATAATTTTCAACTTGATAAGGAAGCTAGAAGATGCTAGTGAACATAGATCATAGGGGGCTTAGAAATAAAATTAGACAGGGTTAGAAATTAATTTTTAACGAATAAGTGTGTAAACGGGATGAGTCTAGAAGTAAGTTGAAACCATGTCTTCTAGTAACTGGAAAAAGATGAAGGCAATGAAAGAAAATGAGAACTAAGTAGTCAAGCTAAACTAGAACTACGGTAAATGTATAGGTTGGACTAGTTTCTTTTGAACACATAGCTCCGGCTTTTTGATACATATGGCGATAAAAGGCGTTGACAAGGTGTGCAGTTACAGCGCTTCTGGTTGAATCAATGCCATCTTTATGGAGCCAAAGTGGGTAATGTTCTGTAACATGTTATGAAATGAATCGCATAGAACTAACTATGTACCTAGCTCCACAAAAGCAGGTAAACTGATATATTCACATTGTATTGCTTATATCCGGAAGTTTGTCCTTCACACTGATAAGAAGCAGTCTTAGAGTTGCTACAGGAAAGGTCTTCTTTAGGGAACTGGAGATTCTCCTCTTTAAGGTATCCGCAGCTAATATTTTCCTGAAGTCCAAATTCAAATAGTGTCTTCTTTTTTACACAGAAGTGTATTCTTCTCTTTGGTATCCTTCCCTTCTCCACGAAACTGTCCTGGATCTGGTTTGGTGTGACTGCTTAATGCTTGTTTTCTTTCATTCTCTTCATTTTTCTCAGTTATTAGAAGACATTGTTTCAACTTACTTCTAGACTCATCCCGTTTACACACTTATTCGTTGAAAACGACTTCCTAACCCTGTGTAATTTTGTTTCTAAGTCCCCTATGATGTATATTCACTAACATCTTCTAGCTTCCATATCAAGTTGAAAATTATTATCAGCTTCAGTCTTCTCTTTCATTATTATTCAGATTCAAAATAATACTTGTAACTATGTAGATTTATGTATATAAATGTGATTGTACAGCATCTTTCGAGAATCAAATCGCTACAACGATACTTTTGGCTGTACGTCTTGTTCTTTCCTCTTCACTACTTATAGTTTAACCATTCAACATGATCATAAGGTTGCAGGCAGCAATAGAGAGCTGTCTGTCCTACATTTTACTTTCTAGTTGAATGATAAGTGCTGAAATCATTCTGACCTGGTTTACAACAACAACTGATTGGCTTGGTTGATTTCCACTTCTCATATTAATCAGCATTAGAAACCATCTTGCAGTTATACTGCCTTTCTTGACTGCAGTTTGTGATATCACACAGATCATATGTACTGTGATCTCACCAATTTCCCTTTCAAAATGAAACTGTGATAATCTCATCTTCAGCTGAGTAATTTATGAATCGCGTATTTGATTCCATGTATAATTCAAGTTTACCTAAGTAGATAGCCAGAATCCAGATGATTTGAACCAAATCGGTTTTCTCAACTGAATCATAAAGAGCACATCATCGATGAGCTGAACCCTCAATAGGCGGAACTACTGTCTGGTGTTCAGATCACTTTGATTTGGTCTGTAAGCATTATTAGTTGGTGTAAGTGGCGTCTAACTACTCAAATGAACCGGTCAGTAGTATACCGTAGCATGTGGTTACACTAGCATTCTTTATTGGTATTTATTTTCTTCATAATTATCTCTAAAATGTTATGGTGTTTTGTAATTTTCTCTTTGCCGTCCAATTTATATCTGCTTTTTAGATATATAAAACTGCTTATGACAATGGATGGGTTAATTTGGTAAGTCCACTTGATTGACATTTCTTCTTTCCAAATATGCGCCAATCTTGAAGTTAATGATTCTTTCACCTGACATAAGGATAAATATTTTTAATGAATGCTCTTAAATTTCAGCGTGTTCAGTTCGTTAAGATCTCTGTAGATTTAGGGAACGAATGCTAAACAGAATGAGACTCGGGCTTTGGACTTCATTGCCAGCTAGCATCCTTTCATCATCACCTAGTCCTAGTGTAACAACAGAAGACAAGGGCCAGGCAACAGATCGTTTTTATTATGAAAATCAACACGTATTTATACATATTTCACATACATTATTATAGCTTATGCAAGTAGACCAGCACAGTCATCTGATTGGTTGTTTATCAGAAGTTAAGCAGACAAACGCAGGCTTCTGATTGGTTGTTTCGGGATTCTTCGAAAAATAGAGTTCTCTATCTGCGAATCATATTTTGCCACGTTAACTTTGCTGTGATTGGTTGTTGAATCAGCCTTGCTCATATTTTCTCACGGCCTGCTCTCACCACACTAGTTGTAGTGGACTGGAATACACGTCAGACTGTGTACAGCGAGAAGACTGAAATATGTTGGACCCAAAGGGAGACTCTAGAATATCTGGATTATGCAGACGATTTATGTCTGATGTCACACAAACTCGAAGAATTGCCAAAGAAAACCAGCAAACTCATAGAAGAAGCTGATGGCGAAGACAGGACTTCAGGTGAACGTAGAGAAGACAGACGTTATGAGAACAAACAGCCAACCTCACCATTCACTATCAACAGGAGAAATATGAAAGAAGTTACTTCCTTCGCCTATCTAGGATGCTTCGTTTCGACTACAGGCAATCGGAAGAGATGGGGATGTCAACGCCAGGATCTGAAGGGCAAGGTAAACCTTTAACACTTTGAAATCAGTTTTGAAGACTTCTGCTCTTAGTACAAAGGATAAGATTCGGATTTTCAACATTAATACCAAGTCAGTCAGCCGTTCTCTTCTCTATGAGTTAGAAATTTAACTTTCACGTCATGAAAATCATCTCAAACATGTTGCAGCATTTTATCAACGGCTGTATTCACTGGCCCCATATTAAAGATGAAATGGCCTACCAGAAAGAATTAGCAACAAGAGACTACGGGAATAAACCAACAAAGAAACTACCGTTCGACACAAATGGTTGGTACAGTGCTGAAGTCTTAGACACGGGAGAAACCAAGCACTTCAGAGAGTTTACACTAGCCTGGTATTCCAGTGAATCAATAGTCAACAGGCATACTAACACAGACAAGATTTATTAGTCCAAAAAATGGAAATCACATGAGCAAAACATCAACTTCCAGGTTTAGGAAAAGATCCTTACCAACTCACGGTTCATACTGGATTTACTCAATGAAATGATTCGCTACTATTAACTACAAACCATGTGTTCATAGACAGTTCTACCGGCAGTCCCTCTCGTGAATGCAATTTAGGATTCCCCCAACGCTTATTACAAATTAAAATTTATATACAGAACCAGATAGGAAGGTTAATGGTAGTAATCTCATTGTAGTATATAAGCTGAAGCCCGATTATTTTTCCTTCACGTTCCCAGTGGAACATAGGGTTTCAAGCTAGTGGCTTGAAGTCTCTGTAGCAGTGTTTAATTTTTTATAGGATGGGGTTGCTAGCCCAATGCCCAACCTTTCCTCTTTACCAGCATTATTTCTGGCTTAGCGAGGCAAAGGAGTGCGTCTGCCGGGGATCGAACCCCGAACCATGTGCATTGTTAGCGAGCAAGCGAACCGCTGTACATCCGACTCACTGGAAAGCTGTCTCGTCCTAGATTGCGATTATTAGTCAGCACGCACATGCCACTAGGTTTTGAACCCAGGGACTTCGGATTACAAAGCAAATTCGTAGACCATAAGGTCACTTGGACCAGTCAGTATCATCGATGGGATTTCCATCCTCTATTTCAACTGTTTGAACCTTACTGGTCACGACTCTTCAGCAGAACTCCTGGCAACTTCTTTCTTTACCCAGTCACCAGCGGGCAACAGAATAATTTTCAAAACTATATTTTCGACAATATGAAAGTTTGCAAATCAGTATATTAGTTGCTTTAGACTGATGGAGTGTTTACACTCAACAACATTCATCCGTGCCACAGTTCCACGCTATCCATCGATGTTTCAGTTACATACAATCTAAACTTTCAAGTTAATTGTACACAACAGTAGTACTGCTTTTGAAGTCTGATCACAAACTGACGTCTATCAAAGTACCATTGAAAAAGAAGCATTACTAGATATCTGTTTCTTCCTGGTTTCAGACTCTTCACCCCATCTCTAGTGATCAAACCCACAGGTACCTCAGGTTAAAAGACGACGTCATTGACCTTTCTAGCTACTAACATTTAACCCAGTGACTAATCATTTCGATAGTCTGCTAATTTTGCAATAGCCAGTAAAAGTTTATCGATGGCTGTCTGTCTTTACAACCAAGTTATTGGACCTCACTGGTATCGGCTTCCCACCAGAACTTTGGAAATTTTATTACGGTGTTTGCCACACTAGTGAGAACCTCAAAATGGATCAAATCTCTGCTATTATTGTTTCCGTTCCTAAATTCTGTTTGTTTAACTATTACGTGGATGAGATAGTTTATGTCTAGGAGACCTTTATTATTATTATTATTATTATTATTATTATTGTATCCTTTAGTTCCCAGAGGAACATAGGGCTTCAGCTGCGCACCTCCATTGCCTTCTGTTTTCTGACAACGTTTTCACCCCACTCCAGTTCTGTCCACATGCCTTCATCTCCTCCTCGCATGACATCCTCCAAGTCACCCTTGGACGACCAACTCGCCGCCTCCATTTTGGGTTCCAATCGAGTAAGGGCTTGTCTAGTGATGTCAGTCACTTGATGGTTTCCTCAGAGTATGGCGAATCAATCTCCATTTCTTCCTGCCTATTTGTTCCACAATCGGTTCCCGCTGTGTTGGTTCGCTCATTGCCAGAGATCCCTGTTGCTGATCATTTCTGGTCGGACATCTGATCTTGAGTATTGAGTGAAGACAACTGTTAATGAAGGTCTGAAGTTCTTTTGAGATGCTCTTTTTTGACGCGCCACGTCTCTGATCCGTATAGTAGCACTGACTGACTTTACACTGGAGTTGAAAATCCGTATCTTATTTTTGATTCTGAGTGCTGTTGACCTCCACACAGATTTGAGAGTAATGAAAGCTTGTCTTGCTTTTCCGATTCTGGCTTTGATATCCTCGTCAGTTCCGTGAGCCTGTAATTGAAACGATGCTTCCCAGGTAGGTGGGTAGGTAAAGGAGGTTGTTTCTTTCAGGTTCTTCCCATTTATGCTGATTGTTGTCTGTTTTTGTTGTTGATGTTGGCTAGGAATCATCATCACCTCTGTTTTATCTATGTTTACTTTACTTCCGACTTAATAACTATCAATAATTTCATCATGTTTTCTTTCTATCGTTTATTTTCATTTTACTTTTTGATATTTTTATAGATGAAACAAGTTCATGTTGAACCGTTGATTAACGAGGAAAGACAAGAAATGTTAATTGTACTACCAAGAGATTATTCTGAAAAAGCCTACAGAGGTATAGCTAAACTAAGAATTGTAAGTTTAGCAAAGATTGTAAAAGATTCATTTGGTAAACAGAGAATATTCTTTTCGAAAACTTTCTATTCTTCAGGTTCTACATTTATATAAAATTAATAACTATTAACAACACTGATGCGGTTTCATATTTGCTTGAATTAACATTAGCAAGAGCCGAATCATCCAGGAGAGAATCAAACACGCCGATATGGATGAAAAACTTAGACCGGAACAATCCGGATTCAGGAGGAACAAGTCATGCATCGATCAAATCGCAACACTACGGATCATAACTGAACACAGCTTGGAATGGCAGTTATCTCTCTACCTCACTCAACTTCATTGACTTTGGAAAGGCCTTCACTAGCTCAGCATTGATTGAGAAGTCATCTGGCAACTACTTCGCTACTCTCAAGGGGTGCCACTAGCAATTATAAATCTCATCCAACAGTTGTACGACATTGCTGCATGACAAGTAATCCACAACGGGAAACTCATGAAATTCTTCAAAAAAGTGAAGACGGGTGTAAGCCAAGGCTGGATGGATGTCTACTATCTTCAATGATCTTCCTTAGTGCAGTAAATTGGATAATACGACAAATAGCGGGCAATGAGGAGACAGGCATGAATTGGACCCACATAGAAACTTGTGGATCTGAAATTCGTCAATTATTTCCAACCAACAGTTGGCGATAGAAGAATCATCCAGAGAAGATATACCTTCAGGTGAACACAAGGAAAAGAGAGATGATGAAGATTCCTGGCCAACAGCGACAACAGCAACAGACAACAATCAGCATAAATGGGAGAAATCCGAAAGACGCAACCTCCTCTACCCACCGACCTGGGAAGCGTTGTGTGAATTACATGTCGAAATGATCAGGATATCATGGCGAGGACTGAGAAAGCAAGGCAAGCTTTCATTTATCTCAAATCTCTGTTGAGATAAACACCACTCAGCATGAAAAATAGGATCCCGACTTTCAACTTCAGTGCGAAGTCAGCGCTACTTACTTTAAGGACCGGAGACTTGGCGCTGCGTCATCGAGGGAACTTCGAACAAATTACACACCTTCATCAACAGTTATCTTCGCTCAGTACTTCTCAAGATCATATTGCCGGTCAGAAAAGATAACCAACAGGGAACTCTTGAAGCAAACCAATTGCACAACAAATATGCAGGAAGAAATGACGTTGGATTGGCCATGTTCTGAGGAAACAAACCATCAAGTGACATCACAAGACAGACCACTGATCGAGAGGAACCCACCCGAATAGGAAGTGGTGAGTTGGACATCACTGGGAAAGTGACAAGGTTGAGGTAATGTGAAGAGGAAATGAAAGCATGTGGTCAGATGTGGAGCTAGGTAAAAATGTTGGGAGAGAACCAAAAACAATGTAGAAGTGCGGCTGAAGCCCTATGTTCCTCTAGGAATTAAATGAAACGATGATATTAACAAAAGCAACAGATTACATTTCAAAAGTATCAGCAAGAGAGAGAGAATATGCATTAGTATAACGCTTAACTGATTGAATATCAGGTAAATTAAGGAAAGCAGCAAAGAATTTATGAATTTAATGGCTGAATCTGTTTCATTTGCACACACAGCGAATTGCAATGGCCTGCACTGTTTTGATTGTTCGGTGTCTAGAGGCTGTTGGTTATTTATTCAGTGCCTGAAAGATAACAGAGGAAGACTCTTCAGTGCGGCTAGTTTTTTGGCCTGTTTGCACAAGATGGCCTAATACAGAACTGTTGGAATGTTCTGACAACGCCTCTATTTAACCATACTTGCATGTGTTCCGTAGTACGAGAAATTAAGTGCATAGAGTAACAATCAATAAAACTAACTGACTTCACAGGAGCAGTTGAATCGAGAGATGCATTTAGAGGCTGCTTGCCTAGGTACCTCATCTTTCATTTTCGCAATCACAACCAGGTATGAGGAGAAAATAACCTGTAGCTAACCAGCATCAAACTTTCTTCGAATCGATATTCTCAACTCATTGATACTTGTTTTCTTTAAATATATCACTTCTGAATTGTAGTCATATTTATATATATGGTAGCTTCTTCGTTCATGATCTTTCCAATGTATCGTCATTAGAAATTGCTGTGTTAACAGGCCGATACGTCCACTGCATTTAGTCTAGTGTTTCATTAAAATGCAAACGAAATTTGATGCGTTGCTGTGCATTAAATGAAGCAAATAGAAAAATAAGAAGCCTTGACTATTTATTTCATCATTGTTGAGAAAGGATGTCCAATCAAGGCTACAAATTAAAAGGTCAGCATATCATGGTCAAAGTTCATCGGTGTTTCAACGGTAGTATCCTTGCCAGCAATGAGGGAGGTATGCGTTAGATTGCCAGCCAACTCATTTCCAGACCAAGGAATTAAGAGATTAGTAGGTTAGAAAAAGAGAACTGAAAGGCTAGCAGTACCACGACTCCTAAAACCCCAGAGTTTGAGGCCATATGGTCAAATTCTAACAAGATAGCTAATGAAGAAAAATATTTCTTTCAAAATCGCGTTTTCTTATGAAACTGAAATTACTCAAGGATACGTTTAGCAATACAAGAACCTGATACAAAAATAAAAGGATTTCTGTTGTAAATCTCTTCTTCGCCTTGTTCAATTTTTAGATGACTATAGCTATTTTTTATTTAATCACAAAACTTGGCACATTACAGGCACCGTATAAACGCTCACAGTTAATGTGGGGGTCAGGAGACTACCTGGACGCTCACACAGAAGGAGGTGATTGTCTTAAGAGGCCACCTCTCTAGTCTTTACCCATAGTGGCAGTGCAACTGCGTCAGAAGCTGGTTCAGTGGTTACATGCTTGCCAACCACACATGTGGTCCGAGGTTCGATTCCTAACCAACTCACTCCTAAACCTCCTCCTCCTCCTAAATCTGGTCTAGAGTGAAGGCTGGCCTTTAGTCTAACAACCTCCACCCCACCGCGAAAATTAAAGCATTGCCATTACCAAAAATTCATAGCTCTTAGTGTGAAGGCCTATGTTCCCCTTAGAATGAAAAGGATTAAAAAAAACGGCTTCAGATATGGCTTAGAGACGTAGTCGTGTGCCTTCAAACAGACTGTTTATTATTTGATCCACAACTATAAGTGACTCATCTACTTTGACGTGTTGTTCACCACACACTAGTTGAGACAAAACGACACTTTATTTATTTGGTTATCCCATTTCTCAAGCCAAACAAGGGACATGTTCACAAGTGCGTGCAGGAAAATTCCTCCAATTACGGCTTATGTAAATAAATGTCTCCAAAGGAGTAGTTAAATTTTAAAGAGTCCACTTAGTACTCATTATTTTTTAATGGTTCTGAAAGCGACACTGGCTTCCTAATTAACATTAATTAGAGAAACTTCTTTTTTCAGCCTTTGAAACCTGAAGCTCCACAATCACCAAAATGGATAGTTACACCAGAGTTTGATGTAAGGGATATATTACATTATGATGGTATCGATGAAGTACTATTCCTTGGAACAGGTCCAGATCCAAAACATTTAAATTTATACTGGTAAGTATACATATTGCTCTCTTTTTTGGGTTCCCAAAGTGAACCACTTGGGACTGCGAGTTGGCCCCACAAGTTTATGTGTATACTTTGGCGTAATTATGAAAGCAAAGTCTGAAATACGTCTAATATATGATAGGACGAAGTGTTTCTCTGTACTTATATGACTCGTTTGTTGAAATGCTACCTTGTACTTGTGCTAATTCAAACTTAATGTATTCTTATGTGATATGTATTTAGGTAAAAATGACATTATTTAGGATTTCGTAATACCAACAGAAAAGTGCTCTTCATTTGACGCAACTCTTTAATATTCTTACCGACTAATGGTAAGCTATATTTCCTCATATATTCATGAAAGATATCTGCCACGATAGGGAGTATTGGTGATCCCATTGCTACACCTTCTGTTTTTCTATATATCCCGTCTTGAAATTTAAAGGAAGTAGATGTGAGGCAGCATAAATGAATTCCTAAAATAATTTCCACAGTGCGTAGCTTCGTTCTACGACTAAGTTCGGCATCAACAGTTAGTTCTCTTTTAACTGCTTCTAAGGCCATATTGATTAGTAAATTAGTGTAAACTTCCAAATTCCCATTTAGTGATTAAAAGCGAAGAAATGTGCATTTCTTTTCAACTAGTTCCACATCAACCACTAGCTCAACACTAATATATAGGAGTTATTAAGAAGACAATCGCAGCCAAGAAACTTTTCTTTTCGACGAAGTCATCTTCAGAGGCTATACATTCGTGTATTTATATCAAATGGATGGGAAAACTCCAGAATAATTTCCGGTTAAGGGTCAAATTATTAAAAATTACAATTAGGAATTAGAATGCTATAATAAACAGGGGGACGGATAAAACAAACAAAGTAGCATCACAATAACTATGAAGATTGACGTTGTGCAATTAGGGGTTAGAAATGTAGAAATAACAAAATAGACAGGATGTTTGGATAAGAACTAATGTGATGAATAATTGTTTATGCAATCAAGGATTAAATATGTAGAAATAGCAAAAAGACAAAATAAACACGAAGCTTATTACATCAAAATGTTTTACCAGTCTAGTGGTTATTTCAGTTAATCAGTTTTAGGCATAGTGTGAGGGGGTAAAATTAAGAGGTTAAAGCTGATTACAACAAATAACTAATAGATGTTAGTAACAAGAAATCTAAGTGTTGAAAGATGGGGGAGAAAATTAATAAATTGCAGAATTCAACATTAGTTGATTCTTAGGCGTTGGCAACAAGTTGTTCTACAATCAAAGAAATTGTAAAATAACGATGACTAAGAAGAATAGGATGACTCAGAAGAGAGTTACGTAAAACACGAACAAGTTAAAAGGATTTGACTGAATTACCGAAAATACCTATTGAGTCATGAAGAAAATAAAAGACAGATTCAGCGAAGAAAATTTTCTTTATCCATGAAATCATCTTCAGAGGCTATTTATACTTACAAAAATATATAGTGGTCTATTATTGAGTAATAGCGGGGTGACATAATTGATATAATTATTCATAAGTGACTTCAGAAGTGAAAATTAAAAGTTGTAAATCATGTGGTACTCAACGGTACAAAGATAGAAGTTAGAAAAGGTGAAAATTGCTCTTGAGTGAGAATAAACGTCTTAGTTGAGTGTCAATTTAACAAGTGTGAAGATGGTGTGAAAATATACAAAAAGAGCCATCATGCCATCAAGTTCACGTCGTAATCAGAGATTAACTCAAAACTCCATTTTTTGGATGTTTTTCTAAAGAGGAGATCTGATGGTTCTCTTCAAAGATCGGTCTACAGGAAACCAACATGGAATGGTGAGTACATAAAATTCCATAGCTGGGTCCTTTTGAGAAGAACGAGAAATCTGATCCATTCTTTATCCTCAAGAATAAGAAGTGATACAATCAGTGGGGAACTGGAGTAACTCAGACAAGTTCTCATAGAGAATGGATATCCTCCAAGATTTACCGACAAAAACATGAAGTTAAGGGAAAGAATCCAGACGGTGTCGTAGAAACTGATATTTATGAGTGTTGAATTTAAAGGTCATATCGCAGCTGAGATCCTGAAGTATCGCTGCTTATGCAGATCACTGAGGAAAGCCTTCTTTATGGCTGAGCTACGTATCAATTTCTACAGCCGACGAATGATCAAAGGATGTGTGAAGGAAAAACTGCTTCTTTGGGTCACCTCAAATGTGTGTTTATAAATTCACCTGCTTCTCGTGTGGAGCCAGTTATATTGGCCGCCCAAAGTGCACACTCTCACAACACATCTCTGAACATTATCTGACATGGTTAGTAAAGAGACAATGCAAGACAGATACCAGCTCAATTCTCGAGCACTTAGTGAACTCAGGCCTCGTAGCTCCACCAGAGTTGTCTTACAAGATCATCTACAAGGTGAGGCTAAAAGGTACAAAGAGCGTGAGGTTTTAGCTTTTGTGTATGTATGGCTGAGGCACTGGCAGTTCATCAATAGAACCCTGAATACTGTATACAGAAGACGTTTGTCCAGTCTCTTATTCTACCTTGGTCTTAACCTCTTCACTAGTCGTTCCGTGTAAAAACTTCGGTTTTTTCTTTTCCTTTTAGTTTGCTTTGCTTTATTAAGTAATTCACTATTATCAATTTCATATGCTCCTTTTGTATATTTTCACACCCTCTTCACACTTGTTACATTTACACTCAACTAAGACGTTTATTCTCACTCAAGAGCAATTTGCACCTTTTCTAACTTCTATCTTTGTACCGTTGAGGACCACATGATTTACAACTTTTAATTTTCACTTCTAAAGTCACTTATGAATAATTACATCAATTATGTCATCCCGCTATTACTCAATAATAAACCACTATATATTTTTTGTATGTATAAATTTGGCTGAATTGTAAAAAGATATTTATAAAGGGGAACGGGGAAAAATCTTTTTAAAAACGTAATACATATTATGTAGTTGACCAAAGATGGACAAGAAAGGATCTGTACAAATTTTTTGTGAACTCCCACACAGATTTGGCTTGTTCAGATGAATACCAATCGCCTCTAAAATCATCCTATTTTTCTTAGTCATCATTATTTTTTTCAAATTTCTTGATTATGCAACAACCTGTACCTAACTTCTAAGAATCAAGTTACCTTGATTTTCGTAACGAATTTTAAACCATCCTATAAAACTTGCATATCTTTTTACTAAAATCTATTGGTTCACTGTTTTGATAACCTTAAACTTCTAAATTTCCCCTCCCCTATGCCCAAAGTTGATTCATTAAGATAATTGCTTGACTGGTAAAACATTTTGAAATTAAAGAAAAACTATATTATATATGTCCAAACCAGGTTCAATTTTATCAGTTTGAAAGTATTTGGGCGTTGGTTATATAATACTCATCATAATAAAGGTTTTTGCATTTCACAGTGAATAAGAAACAAAACGATATTGTATTTACTGACGTTTGGCTATTCAATGCAGCTAACAGCTTTATCAAAGTATTAATAAACCAGAATTAGAAAAGCGCATTATCTCTCTGAAAGAAAACGAAGAAGAAATATCAAACACTAGTGAGAGTCTCAAGCAAAACATCCACCCAAGGAACTTCATCAACAAAATCAACACTGACATTAAGTATGGTTGAAAACGTATTCCAAAAACATGGACCTTAACAGTTTACATTCCATTTAAATGGATCAGACACGTCAGAGGATATCAGAAGAGTACTCAACAGGCTCCACATAAGAGATTTCTTTAAAAGATCAGATACACTGTGAAACAACCTTGTCCACATAAAAGACCAAATCCCTAAAGATTCCCTACCTTATTGTGTCTATAAAATAAAATGCTTGGAATATGATGCGATAAACATCGGACAAACATCACCACAGAGAAATCAAAATCAGAAGAAATGAACTCCGTAAAGCCACCTCTGTTCGATCACGAAGAAATCCAGTTGAACCAGAAAAGCCTTAAAAATCATTAACCACAGCTCATCTGCACACTATAGAATCAGGCCACAAAATTGATTTTGACAATATTGAAATAATCCAGAAATCACAAAGAACGTTTAACATCAGCAGCACTTCATATCATCAAGTGGAATAAAAATTGTCTGAAATGAATATGAATGATGGACTAAAACAGAATTTGAGCTGGTTACAACAGCGCCCCTCTCCTTCATGAAATGACAAAATCAACACGAATGTGATAAGCACTTTCTTTATGTAAACACAAGCTGCTTTTATAATTTTACACACTTATCAAATCCAACAATAATTTACACCTGGTTTTGTTATCTTTAGCAATCGGTCAACTTGACAACAGGAAAATGATCTCATACTGATGAACGATAATTAAGTTGTTATATACAAGCTGAGTGGCTTATGTAAATTCTGATTAAATAATAATCTGGTAAAACTATTTGCATCAGCATTAAATAACGAAACGTCAGTAAAAACAGCAATATCGTTTTGTTTTTCATTCATTCATTGGGTAATACAAACTGGTCGAAGAAGCAGCAAAGACAGGACTCCAGGTAAACATAGACAAGACGGAGGTAATGGGAAAAAAAAACAACAACAACAGCAACAACATCCAACGTCAATCACCATCAACGGGAGGGATTTGAAAGAGGCTACTTCATTCACTTATCTAGGGAGCATTGTCTCAACTGCAGGAGGAGCGGACGAGGATGTCAAATCGAGAATCGGGAAGGCGAGAAACACATTCATCAGCCTAAAATCAATCTGGAAATATTCGTCACTCAGCATCACCAACAAAATTCGGATTTTCAATACAAACGTAAAGTCAGTTATTCTATACGGATCAGAAACTTGGCGCGTGGGTCACAAAGAATATTTCCAACAGCCTGTTGCAGACCTTTATTAACAACTGTCTTCGCTCAATACTGAAGATCAGATGGCCGGGCCGGAAAGAATCACCAACAAGGAATTATGGGAACAAACAAAGCAAGAACCAATCGCCCAACAAATATGCAGGAGAA